CCCCCCTCTCCCCTTAAGCTCGAATATTGTAAAGTTTTAAATATTATTCATCTTCCCGCGGATTTTTGACAATCGCTCGTGCAAGTGCAAGGCACACGCAAGCCATAGGGAACCCCTATACCATCACGCCCGCGCAACGCCTGACTATAAGGAACACCTCTTCCCGCCTGCAGTCCTGGAGACCAACACCCCTTCATCCTGCCTGGAGTCAAAAGAGCCTCCCTGCCACTGCGGCGGCGACGGCGCTATCCCCCGACAATGTTGCGTGGCCATAACGGAAAACGGTTATGAATAGCGAAACGGCTGGCATAGGATCGGCCATCGGAGAGACAGAGAGAGGAGAGGTTGGGGAGGGGGAGGGAAAGAGATGGATAGACGAGTGACTTACACGGAAATTAAAATATACAACAATATGCGATATGACAGCAAAATCTATATGACTCGGCTCGCGAGTTAATAGTTTCGTTCGAGCAAAGGCGGAGAGAGAGAAAGAAAAAAATGAAGGGTGTGGTGGCGAGGCGTGGTGGAGCGGAAGATGAGACAAAATTATTCAAGTCTTGCCCAGCATGTCGGCAGGAAGGACAAGGCACGAGCCGCGGGAGAGGCGGGGCGGGGCGCGGAGTGGTCCACATGGGACGCGCATATATCTCTGTTTGCTGATACATGACTGCGTGTTGATATGTTGTTGCTCTCGACTCTCTCCATCTCTCTATACCTCTCTTTCTCTCGTCGTGCGTTCTTGTAGACACTGCTCGCGAGGGTATAGGGGTAAGAGAGAGAGGGGGGGGGAGAGGAAGAGAGAGAGGGAGAGAGAGAGATGAGTCAGTAGTTCATCAATATCCAGACAGGGGCAGAGGGATACCGTCCCGCGGCACACAGCTGACCGTCGGCGGCCTAACCACCCAGGCTGTCTCGCAGCTGCTTCGACATTTTTATTTTTTTAAGTCTTTCACAAACAACTATTCTGGTGTCTTTCTCTGACTTAGCGCAGCGTGCAATATGCATACTGCAAAAAGAACTGTTAATTGACGAAGTTGCGGGATACAACGCTTATAGTGTAACTTGCGCCCTGCGTGTTAAACAGTCACGTATACGTGAGACGGACAATCCATCTGCTGCTAGACTTCCGGCTCGGCGCGGCCACTCAAAACTGCACCTCCCCCTCACAACCCTGTCTCTCTCTCTTCTCTCTCTCGTTCACTACACCACTGTGTGTGCGCGCGCACACACACACACACACACACACTTCGATTCCAGGAACGACACCACCACCATATGCACCAGGCGCGCGCACAGAACTTGAAAGATGAATGAAAAAAAGGCCCGTTTTGCTTATTGCCCACCCAGCGAGCCGCGGATTAAATCATTAGCAGAAGGTATCGGGCTCATTTCGTATGCGGACCGGAACACAAGGCCCGCGCCCCGCGCCTTACTGCTGACAATTTCAAACGGATGCTATTGAGGAAAAAGTAGAAAGGCCGCGCGATGTGTGTCGTCCATTTCGATTCAAAGTCGGCTTTAAGCGCCCAGAGGACGCGTTTTTTGAAGTCAAAGCAATTCCATTGGCCATTTGCAAAGAAATTTTTAACTTTATTTCAAAGTTATTAAAACATCGTTCTTTGGGTGTGTAATAAGAATTCTTACTTCTTATCTCAAGATAAACGCCAGAGGTGGGTTTTCAGAATTATCAACTTGGTACGGGTAAGGAACGACATCAATGGCGTTCGAAACGTTACGGCCGCGCAGTCGGGGCGGATCAAACGCTGTGTCGCCCAGGTCCACGCAACCAGTTGCTTTACACGTTTTTTCCCTTCCTATCCACGTCCCTACCCATTTGCATAAACGAAACCAGCGAAACGCGTCGCGCGGCACTCTATCTATCCCCCTTCTGCTCACCTCACCCACAACTCGGAGAGAGAGAGAGAGAGAGAGAGAGAGAGAGAGAGAGAGAGAGAGAGAGAGAGAGAGAGGAACAAAGGCGAGGCGCGCGCGATACCGATCGCAAGCACTAAAACCGGACCAAATGGAGTAAGGATGTCGTCATCACTTTCGGACGTCCAAAACGTCTGCTCCGAAAAATTCCGGCCGGCCGTCGTGTATCGTAGAATCGGCAGTATGAAATATGCGCCACAATGAGCAATTCCTCTTCCCCTTTTTTGTCTTCCCAGTGTCCCAGCTGGTGGGCTTGCGCAGCCCAGCGCGATGACTGGCGAACAACACATCACCGTGGCGGGGCGGGGTGCGGCGCGGTGGGGAGCGGTGGGGCGGGGTGGGGCGGTAGCACGGCGGGGCCAGGCGCAGCAGCCGCAACGCCCCGGCGCCAAGTCCAATCAACGCATTTTATACCGCGGGCCCCGCACTGATTAATCTAGAGAGCTTTGTGTTAACAACACTGCGAAGGGGGAGGGGGAGAGGGAGGGAG